TAATAGGGAGAACTATTCTACAGTGTTTATGTACATGATACAAATATTCATAAAAGTAATGTTATTTCACAGTACTCTGAAATAATTACTATTTGGAAGAATGCTATTCTCATCAGTGTAATGATTTATGTTCGGTGTAAATTCAACAAATTAAGGATCAACGTACCGTTAGCGTGCTGTTTCTATCAGCGCGTGCATAGTGTCTTCAACTATACATACTGGCCCACAGACAATGAAAAATATTGTGACGGTTGTGGTATTAAAGTTCGACATCGTAGTGTCAATATTCACAAGAACAGTGGGTGAATGATTATTGTATCACGCCACTGGGCATCCCGGCTGAAGTGTACAGTTACGGTACCATTAACTTCCTAATAACCATTGGCATCACCTTGAGTTACGTCATGGGATACTTCACGGTGGTGCCCTTGTTCTATGAGTTGCATGTGACAAGCATCTACCAGGTACGGTATTCTCTGTAATATTTTATTGGTTACGGTAAAGCGATGTCAGTGATCAATTCATGTCACTTATGTACATTGTTACAGTGAGTGAGTGAGTTTAGTTTTACGCCGCTTTTAGCAATATTCCAGCAATATCACGGCATGGGACACCTGAAATGGGCTTTACACATTGTACCCATCTGGGGAATCGAACCCGGGTCTTCAGCTTGACCAGTGGACGCTTTAACCTCTAGGCTACCCCACCGCCCCCACAAGAACAGACTGAAGGTGATATGCAAATACTCTGCACCTGCAATGCCATTATCAATATTCATTTATGTTGATGTTTGTTTTGTTCCCTTTATGAAAGTAATATCGTCTTTTTATATCGTCATATTGTGTTTGATCATTTCAATAATAAATGCAATTTTGTGGGATAGTGTATAAACATATTTGTTCAAAAGGGCATAATGTCTTGCAATATTCGTATCTAGGATGTTATGAGGCTGCGTAATACAATTCAGCCGCACGATTGATCTGTCAATTCTGTCAAATCTGTCAGTTCGCTTCAGAATCGACTTCAAAACTCTGCTCCTTGTTTTCACGTGTTTAAACGGTCCAGCTCCAAAATACCTCTCGGATCTCCTGACACCATATCACCAAACTAGATCACTCCGGGACCAGTCTCTCCTTGAAATACCAGAAACTAGAACCAAGTCACATGGGAACAGGTCATTCTCTAGAACAGAACCCTTCTTCTGGAACAATTTACCAGCCTACTTTCGTTCCGAACAAGAACTGTCAAATTTTAAAAGTGGACTCAAGACGCACCTACTCACCTCTGCACATGAACTCAGTGGACTCAGATAGCGCTTTTGAGCAATTACATTGATAAAAAGGACTCTATGTATGTATGTATGTATGTATGTATGTATGTATGTATGTATGTATGTATGTATGTATGTATGTATGTATGTATGTATGTATGTATGTATGTATGTATGTATGTATGTATGTATGTATGTATGTATGTATGTATGTATGTATGTATGTATGTATGTATGTATGTATGTATGTATGTATGTATGTATGTATGTATGTATGTATGTGTGTGTGTAGATGTGTGTGTGTGTGTGTGAGTGTGTGAGTGAGTTTAGTTTTACGCCGCACTCAGCAATATTCCAGCCATATGGCGGCGGTCTGTAAATAATCGAATCTGCCATACATTGTCCAACCGTGTTTTACCTGTTATACGGTGTACCTATAGCTTCAGTGCACTATATTTAGACAGAGTGCAGGAAGGTACTAGAGCCCTGGACTTTTTCTTGGCTAATTTAAATATGGGGAGCGAGTTATTTCGTCTAGTCTCACACTCTATCTCAAGTTACCAGATGACCAGCATTGTGTGTAATGATCATATACCCTTGTCTAAGCCTATAGTTCCTGACCCGTGAAGATCCGGTATAGAACTGACCTTCAGTAACCCTTGCTTGTCGTAAGAGGCGACTAACGGGATAGGGCGGTCAAGTCAGCTGGCTTGGTTAACAAATGTCACCGTATCCCAATTGCGTAGATCGATGCTCATGCTATCGATCACTGGATTGTCTGTTCCAGACTCGATTACTTACAGACCGCCGCAATATATCTGGAATATTGCTGAATGCGGCGTAAAACTAAACTCTTACTCACTCACCTGTAGTTCCAAGCCGGATTAAGGTGAATATCACCATGACCATCTTGTATTGAATTAGTTTTGACGTTGTGCTGCCAAAGTGAAACCATTTCATTGATTTCTGAAGTTAATTTTACAATACAATTGTTGATTACATCACAATTCTTTGTCGTTTGTTGGTTTCTCACCTTGTGCTTTTACGGATTGATTCACGGGTACCTTTTCAGTTTCAACTACGGGATCCACACGTACAATGTACACATGAGGATGCACATTGGAATTATTGTCTCATAAAAAAATCAATTCAGTGTCAAAATATACCCAATAATAATCTTTAAATACTTGATAATCTGTGTAAGTATCCCAACTAGTTTGGAAAACATAACAGTCTTCTTCCGAAAGAGCAACCTTTTTGTGTAATTAAAACATGTACTTAATTTGTCACAGACGTGTGAATTTTATCTCCAGATTCCTTATTAATGTTACATGTATTTCTAATTGGCTTTGAAAGTTTTGTTTACATGTATTTCAGTTAGTTTATGATTTACAAAAGTGGAGTGACTCGAGATTTTACCTAAATGAATTAAATGGACAAAGTAATGCCATAGGCTAGAAGTTTAACCCACCAATAATGACTTCCCACATTTGTTTGAAGATCTTTGAATATGATTTTCAATGTGTCCACCCAGTATATTAGCCATATTCATACTATGAAACATGTGCTACTCAGCGGACATCTTAGAGAAACAAATGAATACCTTTGAGTACCTGTACCAAACAATAAGATACACCATTGTCTCAACAGTGAGTTAATCAATGTACAATGTCGACCACTGGGCAAGTTCCCATTGAGTCCCTTTTCTGGGTTCTTCAGTTTCATATGGTTAACAATATCCCGCTTCTACATCCTTAGAAATACTAGACATGACACACCAACTTATCATTTTATTGCATACGAGGCCAATAGAACCACAGTGATTGGATAAATGTATCATACTGATGACAATGAGCAAGTATACTGTGTACACGGCATCATTGTTCCGGAATATATAGGAGAGTTATTCAGAAGAACTTGATGCTGGTCTATTAGGCAGTACTGTGGCACTGCACTATCTATCACATGAGATTAATTTTCTTACACACAATGTTCACATCGTACATCGTTGACATTAGAAGAAGTGCATCCAAGATGTAGCATTTACGCCCCTAGCCAATATGAAGGGACCGGCCTTTTACTTGTCTAACGAAAATTATATTGCATCAGAAAATATTTGAGAGAAATATATATCATAGACTGTTGAAAACAAATGTATGTGAAAAACAAACAGTGGTAAGATGGTTTTTTTAAAAAAACCACTTTGGTCCATTATAACAAATATACTAAACAGCAAAAGAAATGCAAGTTTCGGAAAAAATGAAATCTCATGAAGGTAAGCGTTCATGTTTATGGAACGTCCATGGTAAAGTGACGTAATGATCCCAGATGAGATGATGTCATGCAATTTGACGTCCATACGAAACATTCTCACAAACAGACCAGCAGTGCAGCAAAACCATAATGTTAGCACGTGGATCGGCGGTTCTGGATGAAAAGCATGCATTTCACTCTGATGTATCCTTTATAATGGTTTGTGTCTAAAAACAGTTCAGTACTGACGCCAGGAGGTGATCACGCCACACAAACGATGCCTAGACTAACGACTGAGCAGAGGGGAATGGCTATTGGAAAGTTGCACGGAGGTAGTTCACCAACCGTTGTAGCTAGACAATTGGGCTGGCATCTTACAACCATTACATGACTTGCTCAACGTCATCAGCAAAGCGGGTTGCTGCTGATCGTCCCCGTACCGGACGGCAACGAGTGACAACTCATGCGCGGTTCATCCGGGTCACTCATCTAAGGAACCGAACTCAAGCAGCAACAGTAACAGCAGCCTTAGTTCTTGGGTCAAGGGGAACAGTGCCAAGCGATACGATTAGGCGTCGTCTTCGGGCTGCTGGAATCTACTGCCGAAGTGGGGTCAATTTTGGCACGTCAACAACTCCAGCGACGTTTGCTGCCACCACACATCAAGGGTGTCGATGTTAACGTTTTTCCATTGCCGTCTCTTTCCCCGGATATGGTTCCCATTGAACATTCTGGGACGACATTGAACGGAGGATTGCTGCAGGTAGACAGCCACTCACACTTGCACAATTGGAATAGAGATTGGTGTTTGAGCGGAACCAATTGCCTCAGGCATTCTTTCAGACTCTAGTGAACTCAATGAGGCCACGTTGCACGGCCTGTGTGCAAGCTCAAGGTGGCTATACGCGCTACTAAGGAGACTGTCACTTTTCGCGTTCAGGGGTATCTCCATTTGACGGACTGTGATCAATTTGAACTTATTGCTGTTTAGCTGTTAAATTGACAGTGTTTTCTATAGAATAAATGATTAAACATAAGTTTGGTTGTCTTCTATTCAAAACTTGATAAAAAGCCAGACTTGCGTTTCTTTTGCTGTTCAGTATATATACAGCTGTAGCTATAAATATGTGGAATCTCCAAAATCCCCGTTGATTATGAAATGTATATAAATTCGGTATTATCTATGCCTTAGCTATTATAAGATTCAGGAACATTAGGTACATTTAAAACAAATAGCAGGTCAGATTGGTTTAGATGTTTTGACAACACCAACTATCGGGTTGTTTTTCTTCTAACAGTGAATGTTGTACAGAATAGGTGAGGGGGCTTGCCATCTTCGGACAAATGTCCCTGTTGCCCGCGAAACAGATATTGTGTCACTGCTGGAGTAGGGAACATCGTGTTTGGCATCAGTTACTGTCTGGTAGTGTCTCAGCTTTACAGCTCCATCATCTGTATTTGACAACAAACATCCACGTAAGATCATTTCTTGCGGTAATTTAATAAACATCTTCTTTTGTAGTTGGAATGAACGTATTCTCTTGCAGTTTGTGTTTAACATCTTCTCTTGTAGTTGTGTTTGAACATCTTCTCTTGTAGTTGTGTTTGATATCTTCTCTTGTAGTTGTGCTGAACGTCTTATCTTGTAGTTGTGTTTAACATCTTCTCTTGTAGTTGTGTTGAACGTCTTATCTTGTAGTTGTGTTTAACATCTTCTCTTGTAGTTGTGTTTAACATCTTCTCTTGCAAAAGAAATGCAAGTTTCAGAAAAAATTAAATCATTGAAGGAAGTAAGCGTTCATATGTTTATGTGTAAAAGTGTACGTTTAACATCCCATAGTTGTGATGATGTCTCTTGTAGTTGTGTTTGACGTCCATACTGGAATGAAACAGTTGTGTTGAACATCTTCTCAGACCAACAGTTGTGATTTTAAATTTCCCATGTAAATGTTAGCACGTGCATCGGCGGTTCTGGATGAAAATCTTCCATGCATTTAACATCTCTGTATTTGTGTTGAATATCCTTTATAATGGTTTGTGTGCTTGAAATCTTCTGTGCCGTGAAACACAGTTCAGTTGTATTGACGCTAGGAGGTGTACACGCCACACAAACGGTCTCCTAGTTGTGACTAAACGACTGAGCATCTCATGTGGGAGGTTTAATATCTTCATTTGTAGTTGTGTCTTGACATCGCTGTAGCTGGAACAATTGGGCTGTCATCTTACTACCATTACACGACTTGCTCAACGTCATCAGCAACCTTGTAGGGTGTTGACGGACTGTGATCAATTTGAACCCTATTGTAATTCAATGTCAACAGTAACTTTTAGCTGTTAAAAGTGATGTGTTTGTTTTCTATAGAATAAATGATTAGACATAATTTTAGTTGTCTTCTATTCAAAGACTTGATAAAGAGCCAGACTTGCGTTTCTTTTGTTGTTCAGTATATATAGCTGTAGCTATAAATATGTGGAATCTCCAAAATCCCCGTTGATTATGAAATGTATATAAATTCGGTATTATCTATGCCACTTAGCTATTATAAAGATTCAGGAACATTAGGTACTCTTGTACATTTAAAACAAATAGCAGGTCAGATTGGTATAGATGTTTTGATGTTTAAACACCAACTATCAGGGGTTGTTTTTCTTCTAACAGTGAATGTTTGTACAGAATAGGTGAGGGGGCTTGCCATCATCTTCGGACAAATGTCCCTGTTGCCCGCGAACCAGATATTATTGTGTCACTGATTCTTGTAGTAGGGAACATCGTGTTTGGCATCAGTTACTGTCTGGTAGTTGTGTCTCAGCTTTACAGCTCCATCATCTCTTGTATTTGACAACTTGTAGTTGTGCTGGAAAACATCCACGTAAGATCATTTGCTTGTAGTAATTAATCAAACATCTTCTTTTGTGTTTTTAACATCTCTCTTGTAGAATGAACGTCTTCTCTTGTAGTTGTGTTTAACATCTTCTCTTGTAGTTGTGCTGAACGTCTTCTCTCGTAGTTGTGTTTAATATCTTCTCTTGTAGTTGTGTTTAATATCTTCTCTTGTAGTTGTGTTAAACGTCTGCTCTTGCAGTTGAACGTCTTGTAGTTTAACGTCTACTTTTGAAGTTGTGTTGAATGGAAAGTTTGTAAATGATCACCAGGAAACGTTTGGAAAGATTCTGTAAGTTTCAGAGCATTAAATCTCGTTCTTTTGCGTCCATTATTTTGAAGTCCTCCGGGTGTTCCTGCAATGACAATGATGACATCGTTCAAGCTGAAGCATTCTCGAATATCATTTACCATACAAACAGTACTATCTTTCATATTCAGAAGTTCTAGGGGGTGGCCCAGCCGACTTAGGTGTCCCAAAATTGTTTGATCGACATTCTGAAACTCGGCGAGTCAATAATAAAGCATACGACTTTATGGATAACAATTTATTGATCATTGCCTTCATGGCCCGTGCTATCTGTTGTTCTTACTCCCGACCTGACCCCATCTAGTTATGTATTATGTATTTAATTACATGCTGATGTTATTGTTAATTTCACGTTTGTCACAACATGTTATGTATATACTTCTCACCACTTGGTTGTAGTCAGTTTTAGCTTGAAAACAGTGCACACTGAATGCACACTGAAACATCTCTATGCAATAAACAAGAAGTTATTATCCATGAAGTTGAAGGCTATACTATTCAGGCGTCATTATTCACTCTACAGAACTGCTTCGAATGGGACCCGTGACGATCCGGGTTAGATTTGGTCTTTAGCAACCCATGCTTGTCGTAAGAGGTGACTAACGGGATTGGGTGGTCAGGCTCGCTGACTTGGTTGACATGTCATCGTATCCTCATGCTGTTGATCACTGGATTATCCGGTCCAGACTCGATTACAAACCGCCGCCATATAGCTTGGATATTGCTGAATGCGACGGCGTTAAACAACAAACCAACAACAACTACTCCCAATGGGCACGCTAGAATTAATCGTGGGTTGGGAACATGAGTACCCCTTTGTTCCTCAAAGGGGTACACGACCTGCGTTACTTTGGATTTCCTCACAAGTCCTGACATACCTCACTGAGACACTGCTGGAATAATGGAATAACGTCGCGAAGGTAAGACATGAGATATTTAAGATTGCACCTTCTCAGTAAAGTACATATTCTAGTACATATTCCCATCCGAACCCACACTCTCAGATTCAGGCACCTCCTCACCAGCACACAAAGTCAGCCATCTAACCCACTCAGCCATCGCGACTTACACACGGCTGACTTAGTGTGCTGACGATTGCCTACCTCTGAACACTATTGTAACGAAAGTAAAAGCGGCCCAACCTTCGCCAGCCTGATGCTCATGGATCCATCGTTGTTGATCGAAGTGCTATTCATCCGCCACAGACGGCGTGCGAACGGGAACATTAGCTTGGGGTCGTTCGTGCCGGAATCAAGAGACCCTAGGCAAACAACATAATGGTACAGCCAATCAAACCCTTGATACAACCTCCCCAGACCGGAATGAAGACACTTCTCTTTATATGTGATTGCATCGGAGAGAACTACAGTAATATATATCGGGGTGAACTACAGTGTGTATATTTCATCAGGAATTATACATTGGCGTCTAACGAAATGTCTTGTTGAAACTTTTATTTCCTTTAATGGAGTGATCGGAGATGAGATGGAGAAGACAATGAAACATATTTTCCTCAGAATTTGGGGGATAAGGACTTGGCGACGGAAAATGATAAATCTATAATGAGATTCACATTGTATACAAGATCGATGCAGTTCTGCCCCTATATTCAAAGTTGTAAATTTCAACACCCGCGGTAGGGATTATGTATGCCAAGTTTGAAATTGCAATGTGTAATGCGTACCAACGGCTTTGACGCCTTGCTCTTTCAAAGTGACCGTTACCTTTAATACACAATCATATAACAGAATAACTCCTGGCAGGGATACTGGAGGCATATGAGGTTTGAAGTCATGTCACAAGCTTTAAGCAATGGTTAATGCTTGAGCAAAAACAGCTAATGTCATACGGGACTGCTTAGTAATGGCACTTATTTGTGATCAAAACGACCATTTACTTGACTTGACAGGATGTACCTGGGAATTTAAAGTAGAAAGGATATGCCAAATACGATAGATAAGATAAAAGGTTATTACCTGTGAAATAACTGACAACTGAACCCAAAACCATTACAATGAACATCGCGAACACTCCATACCAGTAGTGTGAGATGTCGTAAATCGACGATGGTGGAGAAGAACTGTAAAAGAGCATACACAAATGTGTGATATTAATGTGGGTATGCCTATTCATATATTCTATTTGTTGTACACTAATTGCATCTGGGTATGAATCTGGTTATGTCTATTCATATATTCTATTTGTTGTACTCTAATTGCATCGGAGTATGAATCTGTGTCTATCCATATATTCTATTTGTTGTACACTAATTGCATCTGGGTATGAATCTGGGTATGCTTATTCATATATTCTATTTGCTGTACTCTAATTGCATCAGAGTATGAATCTGTGTCTATCCATACATTCTATTACACTAATTGCATCGGGGTATGAATCTGGTTATGTCTATTCATATATTCTATTTGTTGTACTCTAATTGCATCGGGGTATGAATCTGGGTATGCTTATTCATATATTCTATTTGTTGTACTCTAATTGCATCGGGGTATGAATCTGGGTATGCTTATTCATATATTCTATTTGTTGTACACTAATTGCATCGGGCTATGAATCTGTGTCTATCCATATATTCTATTTTGTTGTACACTAATTGCATCTGGTACACTATGAATCTGGGTATGCTTATTCATATATTCTATTTGTTGTACTCTAATTGCATCTGGGTATGAATCTGGGTATGCTTATTCATATATTCTATTTGTTGTACTCTAATTGCATCTGGGTATGAATCTGGGTATGCTTATTCATATATTCTATTTGTTGTACACTAATTGCATCTGAGTATGAATCTGTATGTCTATCCATATATTCTATTTGTTGTACACTAATTGCATCTGGGTATGAATCTGGGTATGTCTTATTCATATATTCTATTTGCTGTACTCTAATTGCATCAGAGTATGAATCTGTGTCTATCCATACATTCTATTACACTAATTGCATCGGGGTATGAATCTGGTTATGTCTATTCATATATTCTATTTGTTGTACTCTAATTGCATCGGGGTATGAATCTGGGTATGCTTATTCATATATTCTATTTGTTGTACTCTAATTGCATCGGGGTATGAATCTGGTTATGTCTATTCATATATTCTATTTGTTGTACTCTAATTGCATCGGAGTATGAATCTGTGTCTATCCATATATTCTATTTGTTGTACTCTAATTGCATCGGGGTATGAATCTGGGTATGCTTATTCATATATTCTATTTGTTGTACACTCTAATTGCATCGGAGTATGAATCTGTGTCTATCCATATATTCTCTTTGTTGTACTCTAATTGAATCATCGTGATACGTGATACTAACCTTGCTCCATGCAGAACGTGCTCTTCCATCACACTTGATGTCCTATTGTAGACAGGATGAGTTGAATTAAGAAAAACAGTTGTATCACATTTGTCTGATGGTGCAGGAGGAAGATGATGAGTCGGTGTCCCATACAGCTGGCTTCCTATAGTCAGCCATAGGTTGAATGTCAGTGCACCTAGTCCTCCAGCCAGGGCGCCCTGGGGAGAACGAACGTTGGTAGGAAATGGATGTAGCTCACCCCCCAAATTTACATTTATTAGTCCCCTAGAAGGTCTAGGTTAGAATTGGTTTACAGTAACCCATGCTCGTAAGAGGAACGTGATGGGATGGACTGATCAAGCACTGTCCCAGACTCGAATATTACAGGACACCGTCTTAAAGCTAGTGTTGGGAATTGGTTGAAATCTCAGAATTGATGATTGCTTCATTACCAACGAACAATCATCGAAAAGAATTGGTTAGCGTCATTTTTCACATTTTCCTACCAAGGTTGTTATTGTAGATATAAATATTGCCGATGTGACGTTAAATGATAACTCACTCAATATTGTAGATATGTATAACATGATGCAACTTGCTACTTTAAAGTGATGAGTAATATATCATGAACATAAACTTTCTGGAGTCGACAAGAAATATTCAGTCATGACTTTTCAGTTAGTGAAGTGAGTTTTCTAAGAATTAAACAAGTTTTCAGGCCCTGACAACTTCGAAGATATGTTCCATCGTCAAGTGTTTTTACACACTAAAACAGCAGTTCCAAAATCGTTTGTGTTCGATTATGAGAAAATGTGATCGATTGCTTGGTCGTTTGGTCACTTCGACCAATCTTCGATTATTTCAATTAATCGGAACACCACTACTTAAAGCTACAATATTTCTGAGAACGATGATATGAAAAGAGCACTTTTGTCAACAGCGGACGTTGAATCACATGGAACAGGCAAATGTCCTTACAGTGGCTTATGTGTGTTTTACAGTGTTATTGGTTATATTTCTAAATATATACGTGAGCTTCGTCATGTTGGTTTGACGTCGCTTTAAACAATATTTCAGTCACATCACATAGTGTCAATGCTATGCGGTAGGGAAGACGTAAGTGATACAGACCTTCCACGTCAATAACGTCATCAGAAGCACGTGTATGGTACAGACAAACCCAAAATCATAATCACAGTAAAACTGAAATTCAAACCTAACCATAGGAGACACAGCTATGCACCTTGCCCCAGCCGTTTGGTAAAGTTGACTATGTGTCCTCAAAAAACTGCATACATTATAAAAATGCCTAGAATCGGTTCGGAATCACCAGTTTTGACCTTTGACGTGCCATGTGAACACTTCCCAATTTTATTCCTTTTGTGTTTGTCAAAAGGATGTAATAACATAATGTGGTTAAAATGACCTCAGCGTACATATTTGTTTGCCCATGGAACGCTAGCACCGAGGCAGAACATCCCAGTTACAGGACCTCCACAGGCTCCCACGACAGAAATGACCGTCTGAAACAGAAGCGTGAGATGAACATACAACTGCTGGATGGCTATTCAGTGTATTGCCACTATATTGGTGTCGAAAATTCTTTCGTGTTAAAGTGTTCTTTCGAAAACAAAAATGCCTATATCTTAGGTTAGTATATGTGTTTTAACAGACAAATGAGAGAACTATATGTACATATCTTAGGTTAATATATGTGTTTTTAAAACAGACAAAAAGAGATAACAAAATGCCCATATCTTAGGTAACTATGTGTGTTTTAACAGACAAATGAGAGAACAGTATGCCAATTTCTTACGTAAATATGTGTGTTTTAACAGGCAAAATGGAGAACAATATGCCCATGTCTTAGATTGATAAATATAGGTGTTTTAACAGACAAAAGATAGAACAATATGCCCAGGTCTTAGATTACTACATGTGTTTTAACAGACAAAAAGAGAACAAAATGCTGATATCTCAGATTTAAAGAAAACAATATGCCCATACCCTGACAACAGTTCCAGGGAAGGACTTGGCAGCATAAACCAGGCCTACCGTTAAAGCTCCGTAAAAGAAACCTGAAGGCAAAGGAACAAGATCCTATGCAGAACTTTCAGGATCAACAAACTTTACAATCTTCCAAACTTCATAGTCCACATCATAGTCCATCAATGTACGTCACGATCGAACAGATATGTGGAAGAAGACTTATCGTTTCCTATACCAAGCTCAGCTTTACACCTTGTCATCAATACCTCGTATGAAACTTAGATAGTGTCTCTTTTTCTACCAGATTGTTTGATAGAAAGAAAGCCAGCTATCAGTTTTAAACTAGACAAAAAGGAGATGATAATGAGAGATGATGAGGACCTTGAGTTAATTGCAGTGGATCTGCCCAATGCCCCTCTACAGCAACACTTTACAACAGGACGAAAATCAATTTTAATATCCTCAATGAAAGAACAGGATCTACAAGAATTGGACACATGAAATCCGCTGTTGCCTCACCTGATAATTTAGCAATGATGGTTGCCTTTGCCTCTGTTATGTTGAACCTGCTGATAGGGTACTTCAGAAGGTCCTCTACGGTGTTTGCAGACAGGGCGTTGATCAACGAAGATGCAGTGCTGGTAACGTAATAATCACAACAGCATTACGACTGAAGCTGCCTTGTTTTGACAAGGTGCAACGACAACATGGTAATACCTGTATTAGTATTATGACAGTATGTAACTCTTTCAGGCAGGTGAGTGAGTATAGTTTTACACCGCTTTTAGCAATATTCCAGGGGACACCAGAAATGGGCTTCACACATTGTACCCACGTGGGGAATCGAACCCGTGTCTTTGACGTAACCCTTAACGCTTTAACCGGCATGCTACCCCAACACCCCTCCTTATGGGCTGGTCTTCACAACAACTCTTTATATCACATATTTATTTTATTTTATGCTCATAAGTGTCAAATCTGCATTGGATTTCCCCATTTCCTCCACCCATAGAGACATAAGTTCAGATGGCAAGAAATTTGTGTTCTTTGAATTAATGGCTATACTAGTTGTATCCACACTTATCTTGCCTCACACATACATGTCGTTTTCTGATTGTCTGAGCGCTCTTCTATTATTTTCAATGTACCCCGCTTACAAGCGAGTAACATTTTCTATGTACCATGCTGGGAATGCCGAACACATTTGGTACTTCGTAGTAGTAATTCTTTATCTCGAATAACATTGAATCACGTATGATGTACGGAAATTACCGATGTTTTGCGAATGCAAATCGATGGAAGGGAGATAACTCTAAATTGTTTTTTCTTGTCTTGTTGTCTGGTACTCCATACTATGATCCGATACCCGAGCGTCAAACAGTTCAAAATTACCATTGAGTTGTTTGGTAAGATAAATACGTTTTTCACTGGTCCCTCGGGGCCCATGGGTTGATGTACCCACGATGTTTGTTTATGTTCCCTGAGCCCAAAGGGCGAGGGGAACATAAAGAAACATCGAGGGTACATCAGCCCATGTGTCCCCCTCGAGACCAGTGAACAACTTATAATGTTGTGTACCCTGCAGCCATGCCTACAACAAGTTCATATAACAGGACATTTGGTTTCTTTGAATGAATGCCTAGTTGTATTCACACATGTTGTGCCTTGTGTAAAATGAAGCTGCAAGAATGAATAATTACATAACGTCCATCCATTGCATCTGCGAGGATTGTTATAGTTGTGTTGGTGATTTCTCTCAACACATCCATTCAGTCACTTTAGTGCCCCTCGCCGTGATATTGCTGGAATATTGCTAAAAGTGGCGTAAAACTAAAACTAAAACTTTCTTCATCGATTTATTTTTCGGTTGCGTCGAACCTCGGATAACTCGAAGTATTTACGTAGGTCCAATAAACTTCGGCCAACGGTGTTTGACTGCAATTATTATTTTTTATTCCAGAGATAATTATTTGAAGTACCTCAAGCTTCCACTGAAGAGAGTGGCGACGTACAACCCGGACAGTCCAGGCACTGAGCTCAAGATGTGAAAAACGTAGTAAGGAACTATCTGAGAATATATAAGGAACAATCACAGTAAAATAGAACGAAAGGATTTTGGTGAATGTTGCTTACAGTTCCCTACAAGTAGAGGCCGGATCTGTGGTCTTAGACGATCCTGGTTAGAATTGGCCTTGAGCAACCCATGTTTCTCGCATTGGGTGACCCACGGTTGTCATGGTATCCTTATCGAGGCTCATTATATCAACCACTGGTTTATTTACATACCGTTGTTGTGTACCTGGAATATAGCGGAAAACAAACAAACACACAAACAGCAGTACGGAAGGTCGGTGTTTTTCAGAATCAATGACTGAATATAGCTTTGCGGTGCAGCAATTATCCAGCTGTGGATTAAAACAAATAACGCTAAAATACGGTACTGGTTGTTTGTCTGCCAATACCCGGATGAAATGGATTTAAAGACCCAGTAAGATGCCGGGTAGATATATTGGTCTCCAGCCATTTATACTTATCGTTGTAAGTGGTCAGGCTCCCTGACTTGGTTGACGAAAAAGGTCATCGTATGTCAGTGGGGGACCACTGGGTTGCCTGGTAAAAACTCAATTGATGAAAGACCGACGTCATGTGAGTGAGTGAGTTTAGTTTAACGCCACATTCAGCCATATTCTACCTATATTCTACCTATAAGGATGGGAAAGGCGTAGTTCTGAAATGTCCATGTCAATGGAAAACGTTGTTATCCATAAAAAGTGGCAATCATTCATACTGGATTATTCCAACTTCAAGCTGTAAATGTCTATCAAAGAAGTACAGAGGTTGTTAATAGTGAGTGAGTTTAGTTTTACGCCGCACTCAGCAATATTCCACCAATATGGCAGCGGTCTGTAAATAATCGAGTCTGGACCAGATTCTAGTGATCAGCAGCATAAGCATCATCTACGCAGTTGGGATACGATGAAATGTGTAAACAAATTCAGCGAGTCTGACTACCCGATTTTGTTAGTCACCTCTTACGACAAACATGGGTGACTGAAGATTAATTCTAACCCAGATCTTCACGGGTTCGTGTCACTGAGGAGATAGTGTGTATTATTGACGTCATGTGGCTGCACTATTGCTGAATGGAGTGTTAAACATTAACCAAACCGTCAAACTGTGGAATGGTATCTCAATGAGCTGGCATGACCCCTGGCCAAAGAAACAGTTACCATCGTTGTGTCGAACTTTGATGTGCCGATCTTAGGGTTGTTTCAAAGTAAAAACATGGTCCCTTCGTAACCTGTCTGTATCCATATAGTTTCGGTTGTGTCGAACTTCCTATAACTCGAGTATTCACCTAAGTCCCTTCAACTTCGCCACAACAGTGTTTGACTGAACATTGTCCACTCATCAGCAACATGAATCAGAAACGGTAGTCTTTGTCCACGATTACACATCGATTTAATCCCAACAAATTCGATGTCTTAATCTGATTTTTCAACATTAAATATATAGATAGGTATTTCCAACTCACCTGGTTTTCGTTGGATATAAAGCCAGCTTCCATTGGATCACAATGAATGGAATGAAAGTATGCGTAGATCAACATGCCTGTAAAGTTCAAGATCATGAAGAACGGCACCAGCATTGGAATGTTCATCAGATAGGCGCTGTGGGAGAAATGAATTCAGTACCTGGTCATGTAAGTGAGTGAGTGAGTGAGTTTAGTTTTACGCCGCACTCAGCAATATTCCAGCTATATGGCGGCGGTCTGTAAATAATCGAGTCTGGACCAGACAATCCAGTGATCAACAGCATGAGCTTCGATATGCGCAATTGGGAACCGATGACATGTGTCAACCAAGTCAGCGAGCCTGACCACCCGATCCCGTTAGTCGCCTCTTACGACAAGCATAGTCGCCTTTTGTGGCAAGCGTGGGTTGCTGAAGACCAATTCTACCCCGGATCTTCACGGGCCTGTCATGTAAGTAAGTAACGAACGACTACAAAGAACATATACACAAAGAACGTAATTAAGCAGCCCCTGTATTTTTGCAATGATATGTTTTCAACACGTACATGAACCTTGTCGTGGGGTTTTTCTGACCCGTATGATCCTTTGATGGAATCCATGTTGATTTTATTATGATAATTGCTCATTATAAAAACACCACTGATTTTCATACAAAACCATGTCTGTACAAGTATGGACCTGGAATGTTTAATTTGAATTTATGTCATTGTGCGTGTCTCACACGATTCAAGGTCCATACCGTGTGTAATCTCCATATGACTGTATGACAGCCAGCACTTTCCTCCTCATACCCCCTGTCAGCCTCCTGATACTCCGAAGGGGCGGTTTACGCCATTCCTCTTGTAAAACAGCTTCCAACTGGGCAAGGTTCTGTACAGGAGGATCCCTTTGTTGCACACGGCGACCATTCATGTCCCAGATATGCTCAAAAGGGTTAAGATCGGGGCTCATTCAATCCTGCTTAACTAAGTTCTTTGTGTATACTACAAAAATATTGACACCAGAAAGCATTCTACCTTAATTACTATCATAGAAACGCAGAGATAAACACACATTGCCATTTAGAAAATGTCCAATGTAATATATGTTACATTTGAGATTACATTTTCTCGGGAAAGTACAGATTCTAGCATTTTTGATAGGTTGACTTTTAGACAATTAACACAAAGAGGTATGGTCTTGTTTGAAGGTACTCCAAGCCATCACTTGACGAAGTGTCTTTTTGGGAGATGAAAGATGATAATGATCCCTGTCCACATCTGTCATTATTCAATCACTGTTTGATAAGGACTCGATTCTAAATTTTCTAGGCCATCTTCATGAAGTTGACTGTGGTGTTAGAAGCAAACGAGAAGACGTGTACAGCGGATAAATGGATCCGTACATATTCCCATTGCATTCTCAGTCCTCTCAAAGTTTAATACTTACAGCTTTGCCTTTCTGAGACTTGCAACGGCACCTGTTCTCTGTATTGTGGCCTGGCCAAAGGTGTATGAGAAGAAAGAAAAGGCACTGCCAAGAGTCACGCTCCATACCGTGTAGCTGATACGTGGATCCGCACTCGTTCTGAAAAATATTTTAAAAAACATCACATAAAACAATTAATTTAATTAATTAATTTAGAAATTATCTAATTAACTGACATCTAATTACATGACATCAGTATATGTGTTGCAAGATGATTGGGGGACAACAGGCTTTTATCCTAAAAGTCCTATAACTGATCGAGTGATTAGGTTTGGTTTCAAGAGTGAGTGAGTGAGATTAGTTTTACGCCGCAGTCAGCAATATTCCAGCTATATGGCGGCCCTCTGTAAAGAATCGACTCTGGACCAGATTATCCAGTGATCAACAGCATGACCATCGATCTGCGCAATTGGGAACCGATGACATGTGTCAACCACGTCAGCGAGCCTGGTCACCCGATCCCGTTAGTCGCCTCTTGCGACAAGCATGGTTTCAAGATTGATGGTGTCATCGTAACCTAATTCTTGGATTCATGCTCATGATATCAAGCACTAGATTATCCTATCCGGACTAGTTCATTGCCGTAGCATGTCTTCGATGTTGTTGTGTGTGGCGTTGAACAACAAACAATATAGGAAAAAATAACAATGTTATTTCTTAACATATCTGGATATACACAAATATTATAGTACGGGATATTAGTGCTTATATAGTATAATGAGAGCATTACATATACAATTAGTATTTGCATTACGTTGACGTGCAAAGCATAAGGTACACTGTATATTATAACACCCAATATGTATGTTAATTAAGTTTACATTTAAAGCATAATATCTATCTATCTATCTATCTATCTGTCTGTCTGTCTATACAAATATTTGTAGAGCGCTAGCATTTTGTAGAACCACACAAAAGCGCTATACTGAGCGAGGGACTGGCAGTGGGTCCCTATTGAGGAACATCGAATGCCTTTCAGAAGAAGTAGGTCTTTACATTTGCTTTGAACGCTGACAGATGATGTGACCTCAGGCTGAATGGCATATATATTATCAATCTGTGTGTGCATTAAGTTTACATTCAACCATAAGGTATACCTGAATATTATCATATGCTGTCTGGGTCCTCTCCAGGGTATATAAGCCTTAATAGTACTCACTCAAACTGCACTCGGCCTCCAATGTTATTCAGCTCCAGTATCTTGGAGGGATTCCCGATATCTACAATTCCCTGAAACGTAGAACCACGCTCGACATTGTCATAAAACAATCGGGAGGTTATAGCGAGTTGAGTGTTGCAACTTTTTAGTTGTTGTTGGTGGTGAATAACATTGTCTGAAACCAGTGTGGTGGTGAATAATATTGTCTGAAACCAGTGGGGTGGTGAATCACATTGTCTGAAACCAGTGTGGTGGTGAATAACATTGTCTGAAACCAGTGTGGTGGTGAATAACATTGTCTGAAACCAGTGTAGTGGTGAATAACATTGTCTGAAACCAGTGTGGTGGTGAATCACATTGTATGAAACCAGTGTGGTGGTGAATAACATTGTCTGAAACCAGTGTGGTGGTGAATAATATTGTCTGAAACCAGTGTGGTGGTGAATAACATTGTCTGAAACCAGTGTGGTGGTGAATAACATTGTCTGAAACCAGTGTGGTGGTGAATAACATTGTCTGAAACCAGTGTGGTGGTGAATAACATTGTCTGAAACCAGTGTGGTGAATAACAATGAAACCAGTGTGGTTGTCTGAAACCAGTGTGGTGGTGAATAACATTGTCTGAAACCAGTTTGGTGGTTAATAACATTGTCTGAAACCAGTGGGGTGGTGAATAACATTGTCTGAAACCAGTGTGGTGGTGAATAACATTGTCTGAAACCAGTGTGGTGGTGATTAACATTGTCTGAAACCAGTGGGGTGGTGAATAACATTGTCTGAAACCAGTGTGGTGGTGAATCACATTGTCTGAAACCAGTGTGGTGGTGAATAATATTGTCTGAAACCAGTATGGTGGTGAATAACATTGTCTGAAACCAGTGTGGTGGTGAACATTGTCTGAAACCAGTGTGGTGGTGAATAACATTGTCTGAAACCAGTGTAGTGGTGAATAACATTGTCTGAAACCAGTGTGGTGGTGAATAACATTGTCTGAAACCAGTGTGGTGGTGAACATTGTCTGAAACCAGTGTGGTGGTGAATAACATTGTCTGAAACCAGTGTGGTGGTGATCAAATGTAGACTTTAAATGAGTGAATGAATGAATAAATACATGCATAACTTTAAATCATCTTGAAAATATAATATGATGTATGAAACCTTTTTGTAAACATCCCCTGCCCAGGACATTTATAGCTTGAAGCTTGACACTTTTTATGGATAACAACTTTTTCCCTTTACATCGGCGTTTCAGAACTATATGTTTCCTCTTCCTTCGTTGAAAGAAATCAATGCTCCAAAGTCAATGAGATCAACAGGAGAGCAGCAAAAAGAGTACAAGGTATAGTGACTGGGAAGTGTGTAATTTCGAAGAGATATGGTAACAATGACCATCAGGGGCGGATACACACGCGCACATAAGCACGCACGCACGCACGCACGCACGCACACACACACACACACACACTGGATCCGCCTATATCAATCAGGAAAAACAAGTTGTCCTTTGTGGTTGATGATATGATTAAAGCACAATGAAATACACGCTGGGTTGGTAGACACACAAGTCTATGTAGGCGACTGGATTTCAAAACCAAAATCCACGGAAGTTATTTCCCCATGACCGATATTGGTATGGGCAATCTTTCTTGCAGAGCAGATATCAAGGTTCTATGTTATTCTAATCTCTGTGGGGTGTGTAGCCTCTTCAATATTCAGTTTTGTGAGCTTTTATCAACATATATCCCCATGGGCTTGAGAGTGGATTCGATATGACCTTTACTAATACAAGATGTGTCCTTGTGGCGTCTCGGAGGTCGACTGATGGTGACTCCTGTCTTTGTGAGAAGTATGCTTATACGTTGGACTGTATGTATTAGAATGTGGCTAGACTGTAGGGTGTGAAGGGCATGTAAGATTGCATTGCACTCTTTGATATACATGTATTGTCTATACTTATTGTCTCGTAGATTGAACATTCGGGCATGTATGCATAATCTGTGTAGTTACGTGTATTGGTATGTAGTAACAGAATAGTCACTCAGAGCTCCAGATAAGATTTAGCTAATGTGGGTACTGTACCCACTGTATTTTTTTGGAGTGGGTATTATGAATGTTGAGTGGGTATTTCATTACGTTACCCACTGCTTTCAAATATGTGCGTATTTCAGTCATTTTACACGCCTAAGTATTGTGTCATTGAGTAAGTTTACTAAGCAGGTATGTTCTGCCTTATGTGATACCTACTCAAAACCAACTTAAATATAAGGGAAATGGTTTCATAAAAAATCAGTCATCCTATACTGACAGTACAACACTTGTCCTATACTAACAGTACAACTTGATAGCAATCGATGTCTTTTTCATTACGCAAGCGATTTTTATAAGTATATTCCGTACGCATTTGTTTTAAACTCTTTGCGTATCTAACAGTTTAAATGCGTAATTGGTACGCAACAATTATTTTTCAATGCGTAATTGGAAATTTTCTATGCGTATTTTACCCGGATACGCAGCTTATCTGAGCCTCTGGACTGAATAGTATACCGATGTTGGAGTATATGTGCTTTGGTGCATATCCATCCTGAATAGAAACATTTTATCATCAATATCTAACACAAGGCATTGATTTAGTTGTGTTTTGGCAGTTATCATTGTATTTGAAACAGCTATTATAAACATTAACTTTTCATATTGAGATTGGTTATTCCGATTAGAACTTGAATGTGAATAACTGTACGTATGTTATTCTGAGTGTATCATTGTTATTCTGCGTGTTTGATGTATGTTGAACGACCGTGTGTTCTGAGCATACTCCTGTGCTCTTCTGTATATTGGAGAACTACGCGGGTACCAATCTGGGAATATAATAGTCGATGAAGGTGAATGGTTACTTGTAGACTAATGATGAACGTTAGTACTGGTGTCCGGAGAGCCACGTGGGCTCCTGGGGCAGTGACATTGATGTTATGACTCCTGACCCTAGGCCACCAGATGACCAAGTGTGACATCTGGACCTTAATATCAAATATCTGTGTGAGGCTCAGGTGACTGACTGACTGAGTTTGGTTTTACGCCTCTTTTAGCAATATTCCAGCAACATCACGGCGAGGGACATCAGAAATGGGCTTCACACAATGTACCCATGTGGGGATTCGAACCCGGATCTTCGGCGTGACGAGCCAACGCTTTAACCACTAGGCTACCCCACCGCCCCCGAGGCTCAGGTGAACAATGACTAGTGACCAATGAACAATAAACAATGCACAGTGATTATTGGAAGATATGTTATTGCTAGAGTGATTTTGTGTACATTGTTTCCGCTATTTATTATAATTACGTTTACATGTGAGCGAGAAATAGTTCATATACATCATTTGATGTTTTGATGTGCTGATGTGTTGATGCATTAATGTATTGGTAGATATTAAAAGTTGTTCACTGGTCTTGAGGTGGACACGGGCTGATGTACCCTCGATGTTACTTTATGTTCCCCTCGCCCTTCGGGCAGAGGGAACACAAACAAACATCGAGGGTACATCAACCCATGGGCCCCGAGGGACCAGTGAAAAACGTATTTATCTTACCGATCACCTCAATGGTAATTTTGAACTGTTTGACGCTCGGGTATCGGATCATAGCATGGAGTACCATACCACAAAATATTTTTTTTAGAGTTATCTCCCTTCCATCGATTTGCATTCGCAAAACATCGGTAATTTCCGTACATCATACGAGATTCAATGTTATTCGAGATAAAGAATTACTACTACGAAGTACCAGTCGGCATTCCCAGCGGGGGTACATAGAAAATGTTACTCGCTTGTAAGCGGGTACATTGAAAATAATAGAAGAGTGCTCAGCCAATCAGAAAACGACATTTATTTCTGCGGCAAGATAAGTATGTATGTAGAGTAGTAGTATACCCTCGACTAACCTAGAGTAATTTTGGAAGTGTATGCTAGAGTAACCAGATGCCAGCTGAATTGGTGTGAGAACGTAAACTGATAAGGTTACTCATTAGTATATATCATAACATTATCGAAAAATATGTTTTGGTTGTAACATTACTCGTGTTACCCTTTGTAACAAATGCTATCCATAATAAGTTGTTATCCACAATATAAGCCTGAATTATTCAACTTTGCCAATGCTTAAGTTGTGGCCTAACGTCAAAGCCTGTCTTCTGACTCACCGTCATATAACTCGAATACACGGGCGTCAAACCCAGCTCATCGACAAACTCAATGCTGAAACATGGTACAAATTGATACCAAACGTTCCGAAAAATCACGTGCATTGTGGCATTTCACACGTCGGAAATATATTGGTCATATATCCAGAACCACAGAACATACCTCATGCGTATCACGTTTTATATTTACCTTAATGAAGACTGCAATCAGACCTAGATATATGACTATTGTTTGAAAAACATCTGCCCAGACAACGCTCTTTAAGCCTCCCTGAAAGAGAGATGAAGAGTCACATGAAGAACGTCATTGTTGGATCTTGAGGACAGTATTGGAAACATTGTAATTGTGTGTCCACACTATCTGGTCAGTATGGCCTTCTGCTGTACGGTGGACCATCCTACCGACAGTTGATAGTTTTCTCAGTTGCTTTAGAGGTCATTGGCATTACGGATTAGAATAGATGCCCAGTCTGAGTAGGCTGTTGAGACTCAGCGACTGTGATGATTTGTCATCCTCATCTTAGGACGAGAGATCATAACATAACACAACATTAGGGACCAACGAACTAATACCTGATGGGTGGATTTTGGGATTCTTGACTGGATCTTTTTAGCTAGTGTGTTAAAACACCCAAAATATCCCAATCTTTCCTCAAGAATATGAAATGCCGGTTCCTTACAGACATTGGACATGTCTAATGTTGATGATCTGATAATGGGGGTATTGCTAATAGCGCCAGATGCTGACACTCACCAGAGCAGTATATATGGTGCCAATACCACCGATGACCACTGCTGATACCCAAAGGGGGAGACCAATAGCTGGAATATAGAATGTAAACATAAATCCATCAGCTGACCGATATATTGTTTTTACACGTAATATTTATTTTTCTAACGATGAACACATTGAAAATAACAGTTTCCTTTACATCGATCTAGGCTTTAAAATGGCACCTAAAATATAACCTATGATAATTATTATGCTTCTTTACGTATTGTGACACAGTTTAACCTATCAACAAGGTGTGTGGGAGGGAACGTTCAAATGGCCAGTTGTTATGGTCACATTATCCAGAAAGGGCAGGGTTCGGTCAGCTATCTAAATGGCCACAATTAACTTTGCACAGTTGCGTGCAGTTACCGTGTCGTGCTTGTGGTCAATTTCCTGATTTGGCGAATCTTTCGTCTGGGAGCATTTTACCCGTCCTCGTTGGAGTTCTCCAAATAGAATAAGTTTGAAAATATGCGTCCTCACAAAAAGTCGACATGCTTGAAACCGTATCATGTCATAGCTGTGATTACAAATCTAAAAACCGGCTAGTGTACATATAAAGCTGTTTGCGTACATACAAACTTACTTGCATATGTACAAACCTTGGGAATGTACAAATCTACTTGCCTAACTGCGTATGTGCGTACATACAAACCTACTTGCGAACGTACAAACCTACTTGCGTACACACAAACCTGCTTGCATAGCGAAGGCTGGGGACAACAATGTGACCGTTGTGTACACTATCTGTAACAATATATTTATACATGGTTAGGCTGAAAACAGTTTGTTTCGCTTTGTGACGGGAAACAAAAACGCGGTTCCTTCAGTGGAATTTCATTGATATATCCACATGAGTTCGAATCCCTGTATGGACAATATTTTAAAAAAAAAAAATCTAGACTTTTGCAATCATAAATTGTTTTTATATGTTATGATTAACTTATATTTTCCCAATTTTAGCGAAATTAGTGAAGAAATATAGATTTTAGAAACTTCTACAATTCTTTATGGAATACACAAGGGTTGACACTTCCGATGCTAAAGCCTGATCGAAAACCGGACGGCCCGACTATTATAACCTGTAATTCAATCAAACCTAACGTTTCTCACACACACACACACACACACACACACACACACACACACACACACACACACACACACACACACACACACACACACACACACACACACACACACACACACACACACACACACACACACACACACACACACACACAACCAACTTGTGTCGAGCTTGTAGATCATTATTTTACCTTTCTGCTCACCATATGAATTATGTTTAACTTAATTTCATTTCATTGATTCGAACCCCTATGGATATATCCAACACTCAAGAATGACCCGAACAATTAAACAATGTATCTGACTGAATTGGATGTATTCAAATTATTTTCTTCAGCAATGGTTAATCGTTCTCACCTGAACTAGAATTCCCAGAAATACTCCTATTAAACGGACTGCATAAGATTTGAACCGCATTTCAAAGTACTGAAAAAAAATCAACATAAGGTTCAAGTATGATTTGTGTATGTAATCTGTTGATGTGTAGTTTCCTATATATGATTTAATCATCATCATCATCATCATCATCAACAACAACAAAAACAACAACAACATCAAGGTCATCAGCTTCGTGATAATTTAGATGATAAATATGAAATGTAACAATATTGTCCCGTAGTAGCACTGTAAGGGGCGGTGGGGTAGCCTGGTGGTTAAAGTGTACGCTCGTCACGACGAAGACCCGAGTTCGAAACCCCACATGGGTACAATGTGTGAAGTCCATTTCAGGTGTCCCATGCCGTGATATTGCTGGAATATTGCTAAAAGCGGCGTAAAACTAAACTCACTCACTCACTCACTGACTGTAACACTGTACACAAGTGACATGAATTGGTCACTGCCATCGCTTTACCGTAACCAATTAAATATTACAGAGAATATCGTACCTGGTAGATGCTTGTCACATGCAACTCATAGAACAAGGGCACCACCGTGAAGTATCCCATGACGTAGCTCAGGGTGATGCCAATGGTTATTAGGAAATTAATGGTGCCATAACTGTACACTTCAGCCGGGATGCCCAGCAACGACACCGCCGACATGTACGTGGCAAAGATGGACAACGACACGGCGACGGGACTCATGTGTCTCCCTCCCAGAAGGTATTCATCTCTTGTCTGTCGTTTCCGGTTCTTGATTCCAAAGTACAGGCCAATTGACAGAGACACTGCCAAAAGGATGGCCAAAATTGCGAAGTCGGCTACATGGAGAGATACCTTTTTCACTGTGTCGGAAGGATTCATGGCTTTCATGTCTGCTGTAAAACGAGAAAAATACAATGATAAATTATATAGAATCAATGAAATATTGTTGAAAGGATAAGCAAAGAAAAACGAGAGTTAAATCCTTCCCAATAACTGTGCCGGGTGACCATGCTGATTAAGGAGTGAAATATAGTGAACAACGGTTATAAAGAAATACGGTTATAACGAACTGTATATTTTAGTCGAAATGCGTATAACGTCAACCGTATGAATGAATGAAAAAAGAAAAGACGTCGGTCTAACGAACGAACTAACGAACTACTGACGTCAATGTATTGAGTCCTTTTCCGGCATCCCAAAGACGTCAATGCAGAAAAGGTCTAAAAAAGTACTGAGGCCAAAACAACAAACAAACAACATGAAACCATTAATTTCAAAATGTTGTTGCCTCTCCATTAGGAACACTTGGGAGTACATGAAATAAAGACTGTGACTAGAATGTTTTTTTGCTCCTAAAATCGAATAATGATAGGATCTAACCAATGCAACGTGTAGCGTGTTCACTTAAAGGTCACATGCAACATAAAACACAACTTTGCAGATTCTGATGCCGTTCGGTATGGACCTACAGTAACAAGTGATCAAAATGCAAATTCAACTTATAAAGTTGAATAATAACGCGATGAAAATAAACCCCGCGAAATCGGAGTTCAAACGATTCACTAAATTCACCCCAGCTGGGGTGAAAGTGGTTTCAACAGCTGTGCTGCGCTGCGCTGCACTGCATCTCTATACACACACGCAGTGTGTATCGGCAAATGAACCAGCCAATGAAAGACTTCGTTTCACTTAAGTGCACGCCCACCCACTCTGACTGGGTTCTGTATCCCGGCTGCTTCGTTCGAGGGAAGTAAACCCAAGAACTAAATATTGCACTTTTGATTTGCGATTGTACGCTGATAATTTTGTTTATTTGTTTTTTCATAATGTATATTATATGTCATGAATAAGTGATAATTGTGTTTTAATTATGTTTTTTTTTTGGTTGCATGTGACCTGTAAGCTTGTTCACCACGAAGGGTGGTGATGGATAGTGAACTATGTTAATGGTATTCTCTGCTGATGACAATGGACATACCTGGATACTAGGGCTGCGCAATATAACCGGTTTACCGGTATTTACCGGTTCAGAAATGAAATCGATACGTATTGCGATACACTGATCGAAAACCGGTATTTCGACATGCATTCAGAAAACTTCGTAACACTAGGAAGTCTTCGGATATTTCCGTTTTTCGCACCGGAAGTCAAGTTAAGTTCGGTTTGAAGTTGTGTTCTTAATTTTTGTTGAAGTGTTTCGCAATGTTTTGGTTCTGAATGTTCTAAATGTTTACTCATTAATGACCAGTGATCTCTGATATGTCCTGACCAGGTCAAGGTGCTGTCTAAAATCTCAGGTCTTTTTTGAGAGTGGAGAAACTAGTTCAAACTATTAACCACTGTGTTGATGTTAAATTGTTCTTTTCCTTGTTTCATTTGTGCCAAATATTATTTATTTTGTCATGATTAAAGTTTTTATTAAAGCTTTATCAGGTATAGTGATTTTGTTGAGTTTTTGCTTTATAAATCAAGCATTAACTCGATTATAGGTATTTTTTTGTTTAAAAAAATGTTTGCAATATATTGCAATACATATCACAATATATGCTTTCGCATCGCAATATATCGCAATATGAAAATTCACTGCAATACCGATCCCTACTGGATACCACGCTCTCACCAAGCAGTTCCTATGAAGTGCGAACATGGTGACGATGATATTTCTTACTATGTAGTGTTAAACACAAAACTAGATGTGTGTAGAGGTCGTTTTATACATTCTTCACATATGTAATCACATATTTTAAACTTTTATTCTCTGTTGATGGAAACTGGCAAAACTGGACATAGCCCTGTCATCAAGCAGTTCCACCGTAGTGCAAATATGGTGGTAATGACATTCCTTCTTATGTTTAAGAGGTGAAAGGAGTGTTTAGAAGTCGATCCAAGGTCATATACACCTCAACTACTACCACAAAGGAAATGTTGACTAAGCCTATGATATAAAACGTACCTGTGTCTAAAAGATGAGAAATATTACCGTGTGATGATATTCCCAAAGCGTGAGTGAGTGAGTGATTTTAGTTTTACGCCGCACTCAGCAATATTCCAGCTATATGGCGGCGGTCTGTAAATAATCGTATCTGGACCAGACAATCCAGGGATCAACAACATGAGCATCGATCTACGCAATTGGGATACGATGACATGTGTCAACCCAGTCAGCGAGCAAGACCACTGGCAACTGGTAGTCCAGGTCACGTACTTTGGCTTGCCCCGTATCATGTGTACATTGGCATTGCTGCCAATGTGTCACGTGTGCTTCGTTGTGGGGCAGGACTGAAGTCCTAAAAACTCTGAGGAGTCAGGCTTCAAACACGATCACCCATCCAAGGACTTTCTGTGACGCTCTTTGCTTAACTTCAACTGAATTGACCTCGGCTCTATTCACAGGACCACACACCACCGGGTACCCCCACGAAGGTGTAATCCAAACGATAACATCTGTAACAGTTGACCGGTTTCTAAATGGTAGTGTATAGGATGAGTGAAACGCGTTAATTGCTTAATTACTGACAGCTCTAATTATCAGTAATGTGTGTGTGTGTGTGTGTTAGCCTAGTGGTTAAGGCGTTCGCTCATCATGCCTAACACCCGGGTTCGATTCCCCACATGGGTACAATGTATTAAGCCCATTTCTGGTGTTCCCCGCCGTGATGTTGCTGGAATATTGCTAAAAGCGGCGTAAAAAACCAAACTCAGTCAGTCAGTATCAGTAATCGGGGTGTACCTCAAACCAAGTCTGGACACATATATAACTAATCGAAGCCCAAAATGTGAGAACACAATCTGTATAGCACGGAATATCCCTTTAAGATCATTGCGTTAAATTGATGTATTTCAGCATCAGGGAGATGAAAATATCAAAATTAGAAAAATAGAAAGTAATAAGAAATTATAATTGAATGTTATTTTGGGTTACCCGGGGTAATCAGTCTTGTATAAACGTATTACACCATTCTATTCACTTAAGTATGTATGTTATTTTTAATGCGTGACAATTAATCATACAATTCATGCATGGTTTCTATAATAAACAATGATCGAATGAAGAGTTTTGATGACGAACATTTCCAATTACTAGAAAACAAATCTGTCGCATCGTATTAACGGTTAGAATAACATTTGTCACCCCATCCTGAAACAACCAGTGACAACATAATTACTATGACGTTGATCTGGCATGCTTCAACTGAAACCCATGAAGCAGAATCTGAAGATACATATTCTGTTCCATCCAACTGTACAAATTGTAATACAATATAACTAATACAGTTTACAATACATTAAACTTCCAAAAGGAAGCAATAATTGTTTCATAATCTGTTCATAATTCCATAAATGGAGACAGTATGTTGACTGAGGAATAAAAATCAAACCAGCAAACAAGTACCTCTTGGCATGAGTCTAATACCTGAAAACGTGTCCATTCCCCTTTTCTACAGATCCGTGAAGATCCGGTTTAGAATTGATTTATATATTTAGGTGTACACATTCATGTTTGGAGTGAATCGTGACTATCCACAAAACTGTATGACAACAAGCATGATAATACAACATTCAAGTCCTCAGTAAACGTTCAAAACGTTCTATGGTCTACATGTGGATGACATTTCCAAATTTAATGTACCAGTGACCCCAAATTGCCGGTCTTCGTGATGCATGCCGCCAGTCGGACATTGTATGCTCACCTTTCCTTGATTACCTGGTATCATCACTATGATATCATCTGAACCCTACAGTGGACTCTACCCGTGAAGGTCCGGGTTAGAATATTGATCTTCAGTAACCCATGCTTGTCGTAAGAGGCGACTAACGGGATTGGGTGATCAGGCTGGCTGACTTGGTTGACACATGTCATCGGTTCCCAATTGCGCAGATCACTGGATTGTCTGGTCCAGTCCCGATTATCATTTATCATTTATCGACAGGTATCAATGGGACGGGGGGTTTCCTATAAAGGTGAAACCTCCCGTCCCGTTGATACCCGTATAACAGAACATCAAACCTAACAGCCAAAGCAGACGGCAAATCAGCCCTCTCAGATCACCCTTCCCTTCAAATCAAGTTTGACAAATTCGAAATCCTATCAACCAAGAATCAAGACTTCATAAAATGAAAACCTTTGGAAGCCATCGAAATCGGCGCCTTTGATCAACAGAGACCAATGATACTACATACCATCGGGTTAAGCCGAATTAATCAAACTATAGACTCTACCAAAGCACCCTATCAGCTTGTTATTACAACTTAATCCCCCTTGTTTATTGGCTACATCACCAGTTTCATTTGTTGTTCTATAGTCCCCTTGTGGCCTCTCCCAATCTCTCCAGTTATTGTTCAATTACATGTGGTTGTTAATGTTAATCAGCTGTTTGTCATAACCTCTCATTATATATATATATTATATACCTCTCATGATTTGGTTGTATTCACGTCAGCGAGACAACAGTGTAAAAATCTACATCCAAACGTCGATCTATGCAATAAATAAGAATTTGTCATCCATGAAGTTGTCTGCGAAAAGGAAATGTTGACAAAGCATATGAAGTGGAGTATAACAACTACCTGTCTCTAAAATATGAGAAATATTACCTTATGATCATATTCCCAAAGCAAGGGAATTAACTGATGTAAAAAGGCCCAGTTTCCACTCTTTCTGAAGTTACATTTGGCGTGACTGACAAGTGTATGTACAGTCCAATAGAAATCATATAACGAAATCGAGTTCGTAACTGTATCGATAATTTGAGCTGATTGCAATATTTGCAAAGCTTATAAACCGCCAAATGGGCATCACCAAATATTTTCAAGATCGTTCACCATTTTAACAAAGCAGAAAACAAAATTATTTTAAAGGGAACAGGTGGTGACAAAAATAGGTCCAACTCCCCCTCCCCCCAAATTATTAACACATAAACATTGATATGGTCTGAGCCAGAATCGAATATCTCCAGCAGGAATACTGCTGGACGAGGCGTTGACGACAAACTAGCAAAAGACAACAAATGAATACCCCCGTGAACACTTTGCGGTGAGTTCCAGCGTATTATGTCATGTATACATAGTGACATTATATTTGAGACGTGGAAGAAGTATATGAATAGTATTAGAATGCATGAATCTTTCAGTAAACAGGGAATAGGGCTTTTTCTTTATGTCTCCATGACAACAGTGGCAATTTTATGACTAGCGCAGATCTTTCAGGAAAGTTATGTTTATTATACAATTTCCTGCTGGTCTTTGTGATCTTACTCTGGACATCATAATTCGCCCGTGAGATCTGAGTTAAAACCGATCTTCAGCAACCCATGATCACCAATTCTCTTGAAATATTGTGAAACTATATCACTATAATGAAGTAAACTAACAAACATTCTTACCTGTTTCATAGAGAATTTCCCGAATAAAGATGAAGTTTGCCTTCCAAATTTGAATTTCGTGAAATGTCACTGAAGTGCTGCGATCATGTGACAGCAACAGGTGGCAACTGTTGTAGGTTATTAAATTATTTGCCTGGGTTCTCAGACTATGCTACGAAGCGAAATGTTCTATTTCCAGTAATTTTTTGTGAGATTCCATATCAGGTGGTAACGTAGATTTCATAACGTAGATTACTTTCGCGGTTTGCAAACTGCCATGGTCTTGACTGGAAGCATATTGCACTCCCTTTTCGGTTTTATTACACTATGAAAACACAAAGCATTCATTCTAATCACTTTTATAGGTAGCTGTTATTCATGTTTCCGTACAGTAGTGGTAACGTAGTGTCACATTTGTGTTATGTTTTTTATCATAATCCCTTCATTTTTTCATAGATTTTACATTCATGTACGTACAACCTATGGGAAGTGATTTGAAACGCCTATGATGGTAAACATACTAATTGTATTCATTTGTTTAAGCCTAGTTTTTTTGGGAAGCCTAGTGGTTAAAGCGTTCGCTCGTCACGCCGAAGACCCGGGTTCGATTCCCGACGTGGGTACAATGTGTTAAGCCCATTTCTGGTGTCCCCCGCCGTGATATTGCTAGAACATTGCCAAAAGCGGCGTAAAACTAAACTCACTCACTCATTTGTTTAAACACAACAGCTTTGGCGACACCCAGAATGAATATATTGTGACACGTGTTTTATTGTTACAAACACAATAGTTATTTCCAGTTGATTTCTACGAATTTTACCATGTTTACTTGGCAGTACTGGGTGCGTATTTGACTTCTATTCGTGTTTATTCGTCTGCTAAACAAATACAAGTCAAAACGACATCAGAAATAGATGATTGGGCATTCTCTCTGAGAATTGGTGTCATGATTGTCATAAGAGGCGACTAACGGGATCAGTGGTCAGGCTCGCTGACTTGGTTGAGGCATGTCATTGTATACCAAAAGAGTAGATCGATGCTCATGATGTCAGTCACTGGATTGTCTGAGCCAGATTCGATTATTTACAGATCGCTAAGTTATAGTTAGAATACTGGTGAATGATGCGTTAAACAATAAACCAACAAATTCATCATGCGTCATGAAACCCACATGTATGGTCACGGTGACGACGAAGCAGGAAACATGACCGAGAGTCTGAGATTCGAACCCATACCATGCCTTGGCGTTCCTATATGACATGATTCTGCTGAGCCAATGGGCGCCACTGACAAATGAACTACCCTTTCGATTATTTACTTCAAGTTGAGGAGTGAAGGACTAACTTGTCTCGAAACAAAACACATGTATATACGAAAAAGTATTATCTGTGGAAAGATAAATGTTACCTATTCATATAGAAAGCAATATTCTGACAACTCACCATCAGGTCAATGCTTTGTAACTGTATTTATCTTGGTGTGTGTGTCGTCATCAGCCTCTGAAGACCACCATGTCCGCCTTCGCTTCACGGAAACAGTTTGATTATTTTCTGCCTGGTATTTATACGAGTTCACTGAACAGAGTCGTGCGCTGTATATCGTTATTCAACTGATCACAGCAGGGGTATATATCCAAACAATACACATATGAATGGGTGTGTCTGTCACACATTCTATCAGTCAATGCAACATCTGACAACGGTTTTATATTCGTATTGTGTGGCAGTGTTATGCGTTGCCCAACAATGTTTCAACTGTTATGCATTGTACCTGTAGATTCAGTGAGGGGCAGTGGTGTGCTATATTTAGACTTGTGCTACAACCTGTCCAGAAATCCTGAGAATATTACAGAATGATGTAGAAACGGTAGTGACGAACACGTTAAACGCCTTGGACAAATCACCTTCTTTTCACTTTGCCAATTCTGAATTATGTGCATAAAGAAACAGATCAGCCACGTCTTGCCAAAATACCTTGCTCATGAAAGATGGTCCTGATATAATCGGAATCGTACAGTGAGATGTCAGAGATGCTTCTGTCCCTTTTATTGACACTGAAATGGGACTTTCTGCAGAATCACTATTAAAAGGTATTGATAAAGACAAGACGCGTTGTCAGTTAATAGAATAGGGTCATATATAACAATAAATACGATGTTTTATCGAATAACAAAATGAACAGCAAAATTAACAACATAATTTCAGGTCAGTGTAATAAGACAGTCAGTCTAAAAACACACACCGTATATTCATGAGAAAATAGGATTTTGTTCATAGTTTGAGTACAATGACAAGAAAAGTATGGCAGGAGAACATCACATTCATGATCAGTCACCTGCTGTTGATGTTGATGTGGATCTACATTTGCTGTGTATTAATGTTATATCAACGGTGTGTAACGAATGGTGAAAGGGTTTTATATGAATTACAATTAATTGTACTTTACAAAGGCTAGCATGCATATCTCGGTGAAAACGTTAATGCGACCATATCATGCATGCACGTGTTCATTTACTGTGACACAAACCGTTTGTTTCACATAAAGAAATGGTTCACGTTTTCACGAACTCGTATGCATATATCAAACGGGATATGTTAATCTAACAGTAACAGTCAGCTATTGGAATACAGGCCTGTTGGCAAAGCCTAAACCTGAATCGACATTATGTCAGGTAGTCACGGTGGTAAGAAGAAAATCAAAGTGACTTGCGGAACACAAAAAATCAAAACCTTGGAAACAGAGAGGTATACCTCAAGGGAAATACTTCCGCCCGCAACCCTCCTTAAAATTTCATTTTAGTCAAATCATATCACCTGAATATAAGGTCCTCATCGTATAAGGATGAGTTTTAACATATTTCTTTAATTGTAGCTGAACATACTGAAAGACATATCAAACTTCGAAAAATGTCACTCAAAGAAATTTTTCCTCATCGTTAAAATTTAGGGTGGATACGGGCGGAAGTCTTACCCATAAATGCCCTGTCGTTCCGAAACAAATCAACGATTCTACATGACTATGTACTGGAAAATGACCTTGATACCACGGACACCTGGCTCAAAACCAAGGATAAGAGTGTTATAAAAGATATGTTACCATCTAATGACATTGTAAATGTCAACATACCTTACCGGAATGGCGGAGGTGTTGACATTGTCCATAAAGGAATGCTAAATGTTAGTCTTCATAACTTGACAAACTACAGTTCCATGGAACCAATCACTGCCACTGTAATTAGTGGCTTGGAAAAACTGACCCTCACAGTCATATATTGACCACCTGCATCAGGGAAGAGTTCAACAACGTTTACAGTCTTTCAAAATGAATTTTCACAACTAGATGAAAATATGCTCTTCCTGACCATACCACCCTTCTTCATCTGCTTGAGACAAGAGTTGGCATCACAGAAGCAGTATTGTCATGGCTGTAGTCACATCTGACAGACAGCACGCTGTCAGTTATAGTGGGTGATGGTGCATCTGAGCAGACAAGTCTCACTTATGGAGTGCCCCAGGGATCTGTATTAGGTCCCCTCCTGTTCGGTATCTGCATGCTACCCTTGGGTGACATCTTCAGGAGACATTGTATTCCGTTTCACTGCTATGCTGATAACACCCAGAGTACCATTGCTTCAGGACTGATATCATTGAAAGATCGCACAAGACAATTGGACAGCTGTATTCCTGACATCAGGCTGGATGGAGACAAACTTCCTCAAACTCAACGACAGTAAAACGGAAGTTCTGGCTGTTGGACCAAAGCATTTGCAGACTTCACTGTCAGGCCTTTCAGTGAAGATTGGACATGGGGAAGTAACTCCGTCTGCCACAGTGAGGATCTGGGAGTCCACTTTGATTCTGCCATGGACATGAGACGACAAATCACCCATGTATGTCAGACGTCCCATCATCAGCTCCATCAGACTAGCAGATTACGGCCTTTCCTTACAACAGAGTCAGCAAAAGCGCCTGCCCTAGTCATCTCCCGCATCAATTATGCCAACCCTCTCCTGTATTAGACAAGATCCAGGACTCGATTAGACAATCGATCTTTCAAGTGTGCAGTCTCCACTCTCTGGTACAAACTTCCTCTTACTTTAAAGTCTGCACCCTCTGTACAGGCTTAAAACTCATCTATTCTCCTCAGAATTATGTGTTCTGCTACCAGAAACTGACATAACAAGACTATGTGAAGCGCCTGTGAGCTGGAACTCTGCGCTATATAAATAAGATTTATTTAGATATATTTAACAGAATATTTTAATCTTTTAAAAGACTGAAAAGATGAATTGTTAATGACTGTGACCCAAAATGAATGTTTTACTATGTGTTATCTACGTCAACGTTTAAAAAAGCTGTGTGAAAACATTTTTATTATAGGTTGACCTTCGATGCGAATTTATGTCCTTACAGGTATTGAAAAAAAAGCCAAAAATCTAATCTCTGTGGCTCCTTACGGCAAGTATGGGTTGTTGGGTTGTTGAGGGCTGATTGGAACCCAGATGTTTTTTCACAGGTATGCTCATTATTAACCGATTTACATATTGGAGAGAAGGACCAAAAAACAAAAAACACACACACACCACCCCCACTGTACCCCTGGGGCCATCTCTTAACTGTGTTTGTTATTTCTAATTAACCTGACTATTTATTCAGGGATTCGATAATACGCATGAATTGAATCAAAAGTTTAGATAACAAACATTTCTAATTACCAGATAACGCCTGTCTCACATTGTTCAAGATTAAAATACCATTCGTCAACTCATGCTCAAACAATCGCTGACAACATAATTACTATTACGTTGATCTGGCATTGGTTGAATGCTCCAATTGAAACAGAATCCGAATGTTATTCTTGTTGTCCAGCCAACTGTAGAAATTGTAATACAAAACAACCAATACAGTTTTCAATTCATTAAACTTCCACATGACAACATTGTTTCATGACACTATATGTTAAGTGTTGGACCCCCTGACCCCCTGAACCCCTTGTTGATCTGATTCTCATCTGTCCGAACACTGAACTGCCAATTGTACCAGAAATAATATAGACTAACTCATTGGTTTAATATTTAGATGTACACATTCATGCTTGGAGTGACTCGAGACTATCCTCAAGACTGTATGACAACGGGGCTGACGTTGCAACATTCAAGGCCCAAATATACTTTCTAAACCTTCCATGGTAGACATGCGGATGACAATTTCAAAATCGTTGTACCAGGTTTCGTATTTACATGTACGTATTCCTGTTTGGAGAGACACGAGACTATCCATAAAACTGTGACAACAGGGTTGACGTTACAACGTTCATGGCCGCAGCAAACTTTAAAACCCTTTATGGTCTATATATGGAGGACATGTCCCGAATTGATGTACCAGTGACCACAAATTGCCGGTCTTCGTGATGCATGACGCCAGTCGGACATTCTACGCTCACCTTTCCCTGAATACCTGGTATCATCACTATGATATCATCTGAACCCTACAATAGACTCTTCAATCTGTTGATATTTGTTGTGAACATGGAATGATAGTTTAGGTTATCGTTTACTGAAAATGAAAACGTTACAGAACAAAGATGGATGATCACAGCACTCAGAGAAGCCTCGACAACCAAGATGTAAATATGAATAAGATTACTTATATCAATAATTTTAAGTGGATGGGGCGGAAGCTCAGATATCCTAAAATTCAAATGCCCAGTCTATGATAATCCTTGAAAAAAATGTCAGCTTTGATTTTGTGAAAAATAAGCTTTTAATAGTAAGTATCAAACTTATTAATTTTTTCAGCAGTAGCGTATATAGTCTCAATACAAAATCCCAGAGTCAAAGCTTTGTAAGATTCTTCACTGACTTGTGTATGGTTGAGCTTGGTATTGCCCTTTCTGTCGTCTGAAGAGCCCCTCTAATTGAGGTACCTGGGTCTCTTGTGACAACTCTCCACCCGAGTATATTCCACTGGTGCTCAATTAGGCACATGGCACGAGTCTAAGCTGCCCATTTGAAAAAGGTATTTGAGTACCTTACATGTTTAAGACGTCACATAAGAATTATTCATCTCTGAAGGATTATTAACATGTTTTGTCTAATCAGCAGCATATTCTGCACACGTGCTGGTGGTGACTTTACACCGCACGCGGCAGGGTCGACACATGAGATGTTGACAAAGTATATGATGTGGACAGTAACAAGTACTTCTCTCTAAAAGAAGAGAAATATTACCTTGTGATCTTGTTCCCGAAGCAAGGGAATTAACTCGTGTAAACAAGTTAACTAAGAAGTGGACGATAACAAGTACATGTGTCTTAAAGATGAGAACTATTACCTTGTGATCTTGTTCCCGAAGCAAGGGAATTAACTCGTGTAAACAAGTTAACTAAGAAGTGGACGATAACAAGTACATGTGTCTTAAAGATGAGAACTATTACCTTGTGATCTTGTTCCCGAAGCAAGGGAATTAACTCGTGTAAACAAGTTAACTAAGTATTGGACGATAACAAGTACATGTGTCTTAAAGAT